GTTGGGTTTGGAAATTTCTATAAAATGCTCAATCTCTTTTATTTGAGATATTTGTCTTCTCTTCCACATGTCATTTTTAGGGTTTCACAATCATCTTCATGAATTCATTAAATAAAAGAAAATTAAAATTTATTATTAATTTATTTTGGATAAAAAAAGTTTAAGTTTAAGTTTAAAATAAAAAATATATATTTATTTGTTGTGTATGTGTGTGGTATAGGTATTGTTTGTTTGGTCCTTCTGATTGAGTTTCCCACGTGCACTCAAAGGTGTTTGGTGTTGAGAGAGCAAAGAGTCAAAAAAGGAGTAACCAAACAAACACAACTCTCCAAATTCTAATCTTTCATTTTATGTCAACTAGTGAATGGCCCTATTCCTTTGCAATTAAAGATTCTATTCCTATCATTTTCTTTCATTTTCATCACTCACAATTCTATCATAACACTTTTAATAATCTCTTATACTTATTACATATTTTTCAGCAAATAATATCCTAATAGTGGGTTACTATTCATTATGATCTTGAAAATATAAAAAGCACAGACACACGTTGACCCAATAATTAATGTAGTACAATCATATAAAGAGTGAAAGTAATTTGTTGCAAACGAGAATGAGATCATCATCACAACATTCAGTTTCACAATTTTTTCATTTTTCTATCCTCATTGCCAGCTTATTAACTTTGAAATTATGTTCAATACTAACATATTACATATTTATCCCAATGTACTAATGTTTTAAACCATCGATTGACTAATTAGATTACACAAGGTCATTGATTACTTTGACTAATTAGATTACAAAAAGGTCATATCATAGTCTAAATCATTTATTTATTTAGACAATTGATTGAATTAATACAAATTAAATTATACTAATTTTAGAATTTTAGAATAATGTAACACATATTTAACTTTAGAATTAAATATGATTTTAATCTTAAATTTATATATACAATTAAAATTTATTTATTTTTTAAATTTTAATATATTTTGATCTTCGTATAATCATCATTCTAATTTAAAGACGTTAATTTTTCTTTCTAAGTTAAATAATATTTTAAATTGATATTTAAATTATTTATACAACTTATAACATTCTAATTTAAATGTGATTTTTAAACCTCGTTTAACATATAATATTTATAATTTGTAAATAAAAATATATCAAAGTTTAAGTTATAATGAACTTTTAATTTTACGTTTTAACTTTTATTTTCACAAGAAAAAGATTAGATGGTCTGTGCATCAAAATTAATTATAAAAGATTTTAATTTAATATTTTAGTATTATTGTTTATTTTTTTTTAATTTTTATTTCATTGGAATTAAACATCTTACAATACACACATCTTAATTAATATTTTATATTATTGTTAATGTTTTTAAGACAGAAAATTTCTTTTTTATTTTATGGCTTACAGTTTTATCAAGTCTTACATTTTATAATATGTTAACATATATTCAAATAAAAAAAAGTGTTATAAGATATAAATTACGATATTGAATATGACTTATACAATGAAAATGTTCTTAAACATTAAATCATCCTTTTTTAATTGGTCTCTTTTATAAGGGTGTTTCTTATTTGTTCTTAATTATAGGTTATTTTCATTTGAAATTTTGGTAGTAGTTTTTCTTTTATTAATATGAAAGGTGCAGGGCATGTGAATGAGGGTAAAATTTCTGTGTGTCCGTGTGGCTATGGCCCTACATTGACTGAGAAAGACATTGAAAGATAAGGAAAAATAAAGAATGAAAATGAAGACAAGGAAAAGAAAGAAGAAGAAGAAGACTTAGGTGGTGCATTGTGGACCTAGACACACGTGTATAGGGTTATTAGACACACGTGTATAGGGTTATTAGACACACGTGTATAGGGTTATTAGACACACGTGTATAGGGTTAAGAGGGTCCATGAAGCAAACATGGAAGAATTTTGTATGAATGGTTTAGGTCAACATCTTAATCATGGAGCCATTATTTGCTTGTAAACCTTCACTCACCCTTTTCACCACAAATCCATATTCTAAGTCTTTTTTTCAAAGACAAGAGAGAACTACTTGTTAAAAAAATGATTATGCTATTTAAAAATGGAAACATAAGACAAATTGTAATACTTTACCCTCATGTCATCAATGGAAAACCATTCTTTCATTTTCTTATATATTAATTTAATGGTTGTTTTTCTTTGCTTATTATTCAATTATTATTTGGGTTTCTTAGTTTTCTATTCGTGATTTTATTAATATTATTTTGTATTGTTTAGTCTTGGTAAAGACTTGAAAAATCTAAAATAAATTTAAGAATAATGTCTTTTTATTTATTAATAAAATGATTCATGTTAGAGTGTATTCTAATTTTATTTTTCAAAATTTTTGTAATGTAAAATTATTTATTAAATTGTTATAATTATTTTTTTTTTCAATAGATAATAAGATCAATTTTTTACGTGATATAATCACACTGATAAAAAAGAAATATCAACTAGCTCTTTCTATCACTCGAAATAGAGACTCTGAGACACATGAACAATATATAAAATATGAACATAAACTAGCTAATGGGTATTGACTAATGTTTCAATATATAAGGAGAAGTCAATAATATATAAGAAGTTACAGAGTGAGAAAATAAGAACATAGAAATTAGAATTATTTAGTAAGAGAATATAGATAACTAATCAATTTTTTTTCTTAAAAATATGATTTATTGGAAAAAAGTTAATTCATTAAATATTATTTTCAGTTTGTTCAGTATGCTTTTGTTGTTGTTTGACTGACTTCATTGTATTTGACATTGCCAGTATGAGAGATAAGATACTTATAAAAAGTCATTCAATGCTCATGATAGTATTTTGTTATAATTATTTCAGATAAGTTTTTAATAAGATCATGGAGTACTCACTTTTATCGTTACTATTATCTTTATTTATCATACTATTATCTTTATTTATCATAAAAATAGAATCATTCATGATAATCTATACATCCATTATTATGAATAATGAAAAGTTATATATTATAACCATTTTAATTCTCTTTCTGTTCTACTGATTGTTTCATTTAGATCTTATTATCTCACCGCAAATTGGTTTTTGTTTCATTTAGATCTTAATTTACATTTTCGTACATTAACTTTTTTCGCAATCAATTTATCACCATGGATCATTTAATTTCACAAGTTCTTTTTATGCTATTTTAAAATTCGTTTAACTCATTTTTGTTTGCTTCTTACATCTTATTAGATTCACATACATTATTTTATTTCAATTAATCTTTATCATTTTGCATATTTACTTTAGTTTTTTCGTTTATATATTATGGAAATATGTTAGTGTTTATTGAATTTTGAAATTTGTTTTTGTTTGTATGCATCTTATTTTGAAATCCGATAATATGAAGTTGCTAAATTTGAAATTCAGATTTCATACACGTATGACCCCCACATCCAATTTAAAAATCTTGTTCAGGACTCTATCGAATTACATACACCTCATATATTTTGTAAGGGTAAAATTGGAAGTACACCAAAATGGGTACAGGAAGAAAATAATGAGTACAGGAAGAAATTTTCTAAAACTTTTCCTTCTATCTTTTGGAAAACACAAAAAGGTATATAATTAGATTCAATAACATCATCTAAACCATTTATTCCTGCACCTCCTTTTTTTCTTGTTTGTATCCTCATAAATTTCATAAATCTCAAATTATCCCTTACTAAAATTATAACAAAAAGAAATATTTTTAGACTTTACAATCTGAAATATATTAAAAAAACACATTTTAGATTAATCCGAAAAATACTTTCAGATCCAAAAATATCTTCCAAATTATATGATCTGTAATATATTTAAAAATAATTACATTTCAAAATACATATTTGGAAAGATATTTCCAGGGAATTGGTGAATTCAGAACTTCGTATTCTATGATAATTCTTTTAATTCGGAAGTGTTCTATAATCCGGAACCATTTGGCCATTCACAGTGGCTGACTCGATCACTCACTCAATTTGTAAGGTGGATTCTATTAAAAAGAAATGGAGCAAGCGTTAATGGTGGAAGAGTGGAAATGGAGATATTTTATCATGATTTCTTCATTCATTGGACATACTGCAAAATCAATAACCGTTAAAAATTTGAAGTGTTTGTCAGATCAATATCAAATTCTCCATTGTTTTTCTAAATCAATGTCTTTTTGACAAATAGCTTTTGCTCGATGTGAACACTTACATGTGACAGTACACTGACATATAAAAAACATTACATAGTGCATATACATTTTCTTCCAATATCACAACTCAATAGCTAGAGTCAATATTCTTCATAGATGGTGTTTTAGTTGCCTTGCTGAATGATCAAGTCCAAAACTCGTGAGTCATTCTCGGTAGTGCTTTTAAATTGATTAACGGTATTTATAGTTACCAGTTAGATCGCAGCTTTTATGCTTTACATATTTCATTTGTCTTTCTCTTAGGTGTATAAGGGTAATAGTTTAAAAACTTTTAGTAAATGGACAACGCAATGTAAAAAATTTTGATATTTTAAAACTAAATTTTGGTTAGCAGAGAAAGTAACTACTAAATTTCCATTTAGAGTACAATCCACGCGATAGAATAGAATAATAATAAACAAATTGCTCTTATTTTTGGGTCCTGGATTCCAGTATAATTCTCCAAAAAGGAATTGTCGTAAAAGTAGTAAAAACATTAGAGCATCTATATTTGGGAAACGTTTCTAACATTTTTCAAGAGAGTAGGGTGTATTTTACAATATTTATTTTGACAGTGGTAATTCAAATGCGTGCAATGATGCTCATATATCTAATAGGAAAAAAGAACAGAAAAGTCGGGTAGGGTGTAAATGTGTAATGTACTAATGTGGTTTCGTTCCCTCTTTTTCTGGAAGACTTTTGGAGAGAGGAGTAGGGGAATTGAAGAAGGTAAAGGGATACTTCTACCTAACAAAATCTGTTACAGAAGACCTCACCTTGGCATGGAAAAAGGAAATGTCAAAATCGAATGATGAAGGAACGAATCATTCAATAGGCTTAAACACACATCTAGCCTACAATAAATTGATTCCATGAATTCTAATTAAACTTCCTATATTACATTACAATAACAAAGGCCACTTTCATTAAAGGTCAATAGTGATTCCAATAGATCCATATACAAATGAACGGATCCCAAAAAAACGATATAAAAAAGAATGCATTACCTCGGACAGCTTGGTGTGCACTGCCACATTTAACACAACCCTTCACAACACTTGGTTGTTGCTATTTCATTACTTTCAAGTCAAGAATCTTCTAACGGGATGCTATTGGCTTTCATATGCTATTTCATTTGGAATTCCAAATTATATCCATAAAGCCCCTGTGATAATAGAAGGGAATCTTTCTTGCTTCGCTGGTTGACCTTGCCATCATATTAACAATTTTTATCACTCTCAAAATGCAAATGTAGATGAGAGTTCAGTCGTCACTTCCACTGCTAACTCTACCTGAAATCAGAATAACAAATATTGGGTTATATTATGGACACGTCTATCAAAGGAAGACAGGCAACAACGAAGGGTTATCAAAACACCTGATGATCTTTTCCCTTCCATGGCTTCTTTCTTCTCTTGGCAACTTGAGCACAGAAAAGGTCCGTCCCAGGGACGAAATTTTCCGGAGTCGGATTCACCCTCATGTATTGAAATGCCCTCTCCAGGTTTTATCTCTACTTGACACACTGCACACATAAACAACTTAAACATGTTGCAGACTGGATATTTAGTATGGAACCTGCGATTTAGACAAACATTATACTGTCAGAAGAAAAAAACTAGACAGAAAGTGGTTAACTTAGAGGAGTTGTTACAAAAGTAGACCTCTCTGAAAGCATAGCAGATCCTTCTTCATACAATTCCACTACAACATCTGGCTCAACGTAATCTTTGTCGTTATAAGAAGATGATTCAGAAGACTTTCTACGAAACATGGACTTGAGCATTCCCTTCACTGGCTTCTTTGTTTGTGGTGCAGAAACAGGTGGTTTCTCCTGAGGTAATACATCAACAACGATGCAGGTTGTATCATCTCTAAGTCCCTTTGCTTGTACAGCTTCCTAAAGATAGAAAGAGACAGAGTACAAACGGGACAAAAACATAACTACCGGCACCATATAACAGTTATCAAGGAAGCTAAGCAAATCTGCAAACAATGTCTCTCATATGATGTTTGAGTCAAGATTACTATTACACCAAACATGAAAACAGCCCCAGGAAACAAAATGATTCAAAATTTGTACATTAATCTCACTTTAACAATATGTGGTGCTGCGGCATCAGGTGACATTCCACGACAACAATCAAGTGCTACTTCTGCAGGCAGAGAATCCCAAACACCATCACTGCAGATAACAAGTCGGCCTCCACCAGTGGACAACTAAATAAAGATAAAAAAAAAAAGATGGGGAGAGAAAAGGAATAAATTAAAATCTCTGTTTAAAAAAGGAAGAAAGAGACCAATGGATTACATTGACACAAAAGATAAATTCACAACAAAAGAATCACATAATTTGATCCACACAATATCCTATACCATCATGCAGATGGCAGAAATACTTGCTTAGAAGAGTTGAAGCAAATGAAAATCCGAGTAGAATCAAACACAAGAACATAAAAGAACTATGTTAAACCCTATAAAGCAAAAAATTGTGCAAGAGAAACACCAACTTGCAGTGACGTAGTGTTAGTGACTAACCTTCACTTGCTTTACATGCGGTACAGGGACAATAAATTCACCAACATCCATATCTCCAATAGATCGTGAGAGACACAAGCCACCGGGCCAACATCTCAAAGGACCAACCTAAAATAAAAGTTAATCTAATAAGGCATATTGGTATGACAAACACTTTTTACAAAGAGAATACTGGTAAACAACAAATATGGTCTGTATAGTACAAAGCCTAAACAGTATCCCAAAAGATTGTAGAAGTTTTAACGGGGTACTATGCTTTTATGATATGGTATTATCACCCAATGTACCCTCGTCTCTCAGTTCTCCAGGTTCGTCTAGTTTACTTCTAAACCTCTTTTTTATGTAGTGTAATAGGGCAAGTATATGCACCAAAAATAGAAGGAATCGAATATAAAACAAGCCGTTCACCATTTTATTTTATGGCCATAGGGAGTGTAGTTGAAGCTTGTTATGTAGTAAATACCACTGAAGTTAAAAGGGCTCATGATTAAAATGGAATGTACCTCTGCACCTCCCCCTGTATTTAGCCGACCAACTTCACCACCGCTAGAGGTGATCCGCACTCTTCTGATGTAAGTAAAAGAAGGAAGTCTGTGTTATAACAGAGAAATTCCAAACAGTAGTTGAAAAGGAAAAAACATTCAATTAACAACGTACTCCTCTTCATTCGTGTCTAGCCTGTGATCTGCAGACAAGTAATAAATCTCACCATCAGAAGATTCAAGTACACAACGGGAATCGCCAACTGATGCAACTGTTACAACCCAACCTTCTATAATCACAAAGGTGACCGTTGTTCCAGATTTTTGTCCTGAATAAAACATAGTAGCAAAAAAGAAAATTTAAATACTATCATCAGTCAAGCTCAGGTACTCCATATTAATAACTTTTATTAGTAAATGACATTCTTTATCAACAATCTAATACTAAAATATGCAAACAACTAGCATTATGTTTTAAATCAAGGTCGCAGTGCAATTGTAGTCACAGTCATGTTTCAGGTGTCAGTAATTGTAGTGCATCATGTGATGCAATCTCTAACCTAACTCCTAAGCCAACCCTACTGTCCATGTAAATAAACAAATAACAGTCGCCATGCATTAGACAATCTTAAAGGTCAAGCTTAAGTAAAAATATTACCAATATGGCCAATTAACCACCCTCTAACAACATAAGGCAATTAATCCCCCTCTCCCAACAAGAGCTAGGGGGAAAAAACTTAGGAAAGATGTTACAAAAGCAATAAATGAATCCAGTACGTTCAATTCTAGAATCTCAATCTGAAACTAAGCAAAATTCATTAAAATTCCAAAAAGGGGAAATTATGTAATATTTTTCACAAAGGTAAACTACACACTTAACTAGCTTAACCAAGAGAGTATGAAATTGCACAAGTTGCACCTATCATGGGCAAGATTATGATAATTTTGTTCTCAAGCAGAGCCAGTAGCAAACCTTCTTATAGAGGTTAGAAATATGAAATTTACACCAAGGTTTCAAGATAAGGTCAGCATGTTCACCGTATATATCTGCAAAGCTTTTCCTTGTCATTTATTGTTTTAACATTTTAACTTTAAATGTTGGATGAAAATAAAAGTTAGAAATATGTATAAATATTTTTAGTGATAGTAACGTGGATATTCAAGTTGGTGTACATGAATTCCCTCTTAAACAAATAGTTAGCAAAGGACAAATCAAACACTAAAATGAATTAACAACTCATACCTTTCTCTTGAAAATCTTTATCAGTTTTTACAAAGCCAGCAACTAAAGCCCTGGGCAGTGCTGCTACCCATTCATTTCTGTTAAGATCCGGAGGAATTGCGCTTAAAACATTATTTAGAAGATTCTCCTTAGTATAAATAGCAGCAGCAGATCCATTGTGTCCATCAAACATCTGTAAAACCTCTACATCAGAAAATGAAACCATGGAAAACTAAAAAATGAACAATAACAATAAATAAATAACAGTGCAAGTTATAAGCATTCAGAGGGTCAATGGCTATAGTCCTTCCTGTGATCCAACTAAAATCACTGCACCTAAACAGATCTTGAAAATAATATGAAAACTGAGGCAAAAACACCTTGAAAATGTGTCAGTCCATTCACATCAACGTAGCAATAAAATCAATAATATGTAACTTGCTAATGCCTTTCACAGTCTAATTCAGCCATGAACTCAAGTACATCAAATATAAGAATGAAAACAACATATTAGATTCTAAATAAATTTACAAAAAGAAGTCAAAGTCCATAAACTTGAAATTATAAGGATTCTCTCGTTCATAATGTCCCGTGCCATAGAATGATATATCACATTAAAATCTAGTGACAAGTTTCAGCCCTCAAAATCCTATATAAAAAACATGTCATTCAATCTGGAAAGGAAGGCCGTCAGAAACATACCCCAAAAACTGAATATGTAGACACCCCATCCCCCACCATCCTTTGGCATTCTGCTTTTACCAGTGTTAAATCCTCCCCTTTCTTGCTTTGGCCAGCTTGACCATGGACAATCTCAGGATTCTCAATTTTCTCATGAGCCAATTCACGCTTCAGGAGCACCGAAAGAGGAACTGTTTGCTCACTGCTGGCAGCCATTTCTCTCGCTCCCACTCAATCTTTAAATTCCAAATACCTCTACCACACCACAACAGTAATTATAAGAAGAAGAACAACAATTATAACAACACGTCCTTTGCAACTTTAAACCTCCATTCCATGCAATTAAATGCAATCCTAAATAAGGAAACAAACAAACGCGCGTTAATTAATAAGTAAATAAATCAAAAAACTTTAACGCAATTTCCATATTTCTCAATTAATCCGACATTTTCATGCAAATTAACAGAAAAACCTATGTGGCTACAATCAAGATCGCAATGCATTCAGAACGACGAGTAACGAAATAATTATATCAACAACACTGGCCACGAATGACAAAACATAAATAAATCAATAAAAAAATAAACAAATAAATAAATAACTTCGAAAGCTCGTCGTTATTTCGGCAGATAAAGAGAAACGCAACAAGAGATTCAATCAAACCAATAGAAATAAGGCAATGAGGGAGAAAAAAATTGGTGAAAGTATGATATCTTTGAATTGCAAATCGGAATCGAGAATTTACAGTGAAGGAAAAAACGCGATGAGGTTCACGCGCGAAAATGTGGAGGCACTCTGAATTGGATCGTTCTGTGTGATCAAGAAACACGGATCCCAACGTCCTGCAAATATTCCATTGTTGGTTTTCGTTGATACCGACAAAGAAAGAAAGAGAAGGGAAAATAAAAGCGTGAAACTGAACCATTTCATTTTGAAAGAAGAAAAATTACACAAAGCATGATGCCATGACGTGGCTAAAACGCATCGTTTTCACTTGGCTCGGCTGTGTGAGCCAGCGAGCTTAGAGAGTATTCACTTTCTCTTGCACCCTTCCCTTCCACCTAATTGCTAAATGTTACTCATCATTTTTAATTGTTCAAAAAATTTAATTTAACTTATTTATAATTTAAATTTTACGACAATATATATATATATATATATATATATATATATATATTACAATATAGAAATAAAATAAAAACTTGTTATGTTTCTTTAATTTTATGTATTCTTTTTAAAAAGATTAGATGAAAAAAAATAAGGAAGTAATTATTTGGTTGATGTCTTGTAACGAGGTTAAATTGACTTTGTTACTAACTATTTCCTTAAAAAAAGTGATATTAGTTTTTCTTTCAATACATTCTTAGAAAATTCATATTTTTTATATGTAAAGTTTATAATTATAAGTTAAATATATCTTTATTTCATAAATTTTAATATAAATTTCATTACGTTTTAAATTTTGATATATTTTAATTTTTAAACTTTAAAAATTAATAGATATAATTTTTTAATCCAATCATATTAATTTTTTTATATTATATTATATTTAAAACTGACATTTTAAAATGGAACATATTAATTATTTTATTTGTATCTTTTATTTGGCTAATTAATTCTAGAAATAACATATTTATTTAATGTTTCATAAAAAAAATTAATGAAATAAAAAATATATAGACAAATTATATATTAGATAAAAATTGTGGATTTTCTAAAATACATGTTTATATCTTAAAAGAATGAAAAAAAATATATTCAATTGAAAAAAAAATGTTTATGTGGATAGTTGTAACTTGTAATATTGAGTTCTTGGACAGTTGAAGGCTGAATTGGTCCTAAAATTGCTTCTGACGTGATTGGTTACAATCAAATAAATGAAAAAAAAAAGTTCTAAAACGTGCTTTTAATTACTTTGTTTTTGTTGCTTATAATCAGAATTGGCGCCAGTTAAGACCTGAAGGACTTATTTGGCAGAAATCCATTTGGCATAGGGTGTCATGCAAGACACAACCTTCTTGGAAAGATATGTATTTAATGTACACATCAAAAGTTTATTTGGCCGGATTAGGAAAAGTTTCTTCAGAAACAATCACGGTTGTGGTGTTGACTAAAGTGCTTTTGTGTTTTAGTGTTATATGCCAGACTGTTTGGAACAAGGAATTATCTCTAAAAATTGCAAAAACATTACTGCATAAGTAAATAGATGACAGGTAAGTATTTAAAGTAAATAGGAAGAGGAAAAAATAATTAATTTCATTTTTTACATATATTTGTTTACCATATTAGTTTAATACGAATTAAGTCGTGCACGATTATTCTAGCTTAACTATTCTGGATTGAACTAAAGAATTTGCGGGTTGTGGGTTAAACATATATTTAATATTGAATTTCTAATATATAATTATTACTTGTATAACCTGTGATCATATTACTGAACTTGAGATAATAGTTTCTTGTGAAAAATCATAGTCATGCAGACAAAAATTAAGTAAGAGTGTATTTCGATAATAAATTTTATAAAGAAATTTAAATGTAACAAATTTGAATAATTTTTATTTTAAATATTTAATTTCAATAAAATAATTTAAATTTGTTAATTTTTTTATAAAATAGTTTAGTTGCCACCAATTAAAAATTATTTTAATATTAAATAATGTATATTCATTTAAAAACATAAGTTATATATTTTAGTTAATATTATTTGAAATTATTTATTAGTTAAATATAAAAAAAAAACTAAGCTCAGTCTAAAAGAAGTAAAAGAAGTTCTTATTGAAATGAATAAAAGATAATTGATAATCCATCCATATTAATTATATTAAGAATGTCAAGTTTAAGAAAACATGAAAAAAAAAATAGACATAATGTTAAAAAAGAGTGTAAAAGGGAAAAATTGTTTAAAATTTGGTAACGCATTTTAATGTGTCAATCCATTTTATATAACATAAATAATCCAGACATGTGTATGTTGATTTTTTTTAATTTATGCATTTGAGAAACATTTTAAATTTACTATCAAAATAGTTAAGTGTATATGGGTGTGACGAAGAAGTCATATTTAGATTTGGCAACTTCAATGAGATTAAACTTTATTAATCATCATTATTGAATAAAGTTGTATATGTAATTGGCGACTATAACCTTCTTAAGTAAAGTTATATACATGATTGACTATTTTAATTTTAATCATATTGAACTAAATTTGTGCATAGAAATAATGACTTCAACATAAATGAATTTGTACTAAAGTCGTGTCTATGGTTGGAGACTTCAACCTCAACCTTTTTAAATTAAAATTGTGTACAAGAATGGAAACTTCAATACAAATACAAAAAGAATTGTAGTTGCCCACTACATTGACAACTTTAATTTAGGCCATTTTAATTTATGTTTTTTGGTTTATAAATTCATCAAAATAACAATATGAGAATAAGAATGTAGTGCCCAACTTTAGTTGTTTACACAAGTTCAAGTCGCAAAGGTAGTGTCTAACTTTAGTTCATTTTGTATTTGTACTGAAGTTTTCATTCTTGTGCACGACTTTAGTTTAAAATGATTGAGGTTGAAGTCGTCAATCCTAGGTACGACTTCAGTGCAAAATTCATTTATGCTGAAGTCATCATTTCTATGCACGACTTCAATTCAAAATGATTAATCAAAGTCACCAATCATATATTCGACTTTAATTAAGATTGAAGTCTCTCATCATGTATACGACTTTACTCAACAGTGATGATTAAATAAGTTTAATCTTACTAAAGTTGTCAAATTTGGATACGACTTCAATATTATTAAAAAATCGTGTTTTCATTTCACGACTTCCTCATGACGAAGTCATCACGTCCCTGTACGACTTAACAATTTCGACAATAAATTTAAAATGTGACCTAGATGACAAATTAAAAAAAAACAAATACATACAAAAAGTGATATATGTTTTTATATTATTAATATTTTATTTTATAAAATTAATTTCTCAAATATTAATAAAAATATTGTTTAAATAAATTTTAATATAAATTATTAAAATAATAAGTTTATGTGGTAAATTAGTCAAAATAGTTTGACAATTTATTACTCTCTTTTTTTATATTTAGATTATGTAATTTAAAAGAGTAATTTATATTTTTGTTTTTACTTTTGTATTTTTGTGCTTGAAGAGATCATTTTCTTATTATGTGATTATCAACAATTATATTATAGTTTAGGAAGATGAGTAGTTTAGCACATTGACCAAAATCAACATTGCATATTGTGCCTTTGGAAATAGGTTAATCTTGATGATTATTTCTTATTCAATGACTTCGTTGATGTATGTGTGGTATGGTCTAGCTTGATTGAGAAAATGTTGGTAATAGATTGCATCTTGAGCAAATGTGAGTTGTGAGTGACAATGATGTGGATGTATACGTAGGGTGATGAGGGGTAATGACAAGAAAAGATTGTCATTGTTAATGAATCCGAGCAAATCACTAGTGACATGAGCGGTTTGAGCAGATTGATTAGCAATGTGTCATATGTTTGTTTCAAAGCATATGAGACTTTTAGTGAAGGAATGATATGTTGATTCATAAGTGGATTTTCACAAATAGGCCTCTTGAGTGTATAGGGGACTTTAATAGTTGTATGTTATTGGAGGATTTTTAATTTTATTCATAATATTGCATTGGAAGGTTTGCAATTTTCTCCAGAAAAATTGTATAAGAAGATTTGCAATTTTTTGTCAGAAAAATTACATGTGAAATAATAATACTTTGTTGAGTATTGGTGGATGAAGGTTTTGAGGTGCCAAACTACATTATATTTCTTTTGTGTTTTAATTTTGATTTTTGTTTTTGTTTGTAGGTGTGCTTCCACTTGAAGAGATTATTTTTCTATTGTATGATTTCCAACAAATAACAACAAAACTTGAAAAAAAGTTGCATATAATGTTATAGTTGTAGTGTTATATTTTAATATTAAAAATTAAATTTACTATGAATTTTTATGTTAAGAAAAGCTCAATTGCTTTAATTAAAATGTAACATATTTTAATTATTTTATCCCAATAAACATTTAAAGAAGGAAGATAATCCTTTTCCAAGTTATTCATATCTTATGTATTTAAATTTTTTTGAATTATTTAAATTTCTTATCCAAATGCAAAGATAAGGAAGAGTATTGAGGATTTCAAATTTTAAACCAAGTTTAAATTTATTTAGTTGTAAGTAATTAAACTATTTTATAAGCTTATACTTTTTAAAATTTTCTATCTGAAAAACATATTTTATCATTAAATTCTTTACAAATTGTGGAAAATAAAATTAATTTATAAAAAAATTTCCTTAGAAAAAGCTTTGCAAATATTAATTTTTATACCTATTTAATTGTTATTATTGTTTCTTTATGCTTTTGATAGTGCTAATTTTGGGGAGCCGTGGTTTACGTGCTGAAGCTGAAGTTTGTACCAACTAGCTTTTCATGGCTCATCTCACACAGTCATGGCTATGCTTTTTAGAGAACAGGGACAGTGTCCCAAAAAGTAGGGTTTGTAGAATTGATGGTTAATAAAATTAGTTTCTTTCAAATGAATATCATAATATCGATGGGTAATTTCTTAAATACGAGAAACAGTTTTAGTAAGATATATGATATTATTTTTTTATCGGACTAAATTTTAAACAATTATTAATAATTGAAATTAGACATTTTTTTTCCTCAGAAAAGGTTAGTGCTTTTTGCTTATCATGCAATAAAATAAAATTGTTTCCTAATATTTTTTTTTTTTGTGATTCCATCCTTCTGTAACGCATTATAGTGAGGATGAGATGAAGAGGGTAGACCCAAAGCCAAAGTTATGATATTCTTCTTTTTTATTACTTTTAGGCGTATAAGATGCTCCACCAACTAGTCAAGCCAGAA